AAAAGGATAAGGATGAGGAGAAAGAAAAGGATGAAGAATGGGAGAAAGAAGAACCAGTGAAAAGAAAAGGGAAGGAAGTTGTTTTCAAACTCGGAGCGAGCCAGGAAGCTCAAAATTCCAGATGTTATGGATGAATGGTACTCAACTTTTGCATCGGTTGAAGCTCCTAAGCTGCCATACTGACATCACTTGCTAGGGATTGCTATGGAGGCTGCTATAGTCCCATTAAAGGCTTGGGACCCAAAGGTCAATGCCGGAATTTCATCGCTTGAGGGTTCACACAAATTCAGATACGCCAAGGCCTGTCTCGGTCGTGCCTTGGTGAGTTTGATTGTTGCTGTATACAGTTATCATCAAAGTCTCGTTAATCTGGAGGAGAAAAGAGAGGAGTTAGAGATGCAGGTGGGGATTGCTGCATCCCTTGAGGAGGAAGAATCGAACTTGCAGGCTTCGGTTTCCGAGAAGAGTGACCAACTTAGAGTGTCTCAATCCCAGATCGCAGAGTTGACCTCAGAAATGAAGCACATTGACGCCGAGCTGAAAGACTTGAAGGATCGACTTGCTATTGCTGAGCAAACTTTGAAATCGAAGGAAGAAGGATTACTGAAGGAACGTGCCGATCATCAAGAAACTCGGCGAGATCGTGCCGAGAAGGAAGTTTTGTTAATTAGAGCTCGTGAGGCTCTTGAAAAGGATTTAGTCCGTTTTGAAAAATAAAAATTGAATCTTGGGAAGTTGAAGCATGAGGAAGGTTTGGAGGTCGGGAAGATTATTGGGAAAAAGGAAACTAAGGAAGAGGAAAGTGTCGCAGTGGATTTTGAGATCAACACATGCATTAGCCTGAGATGGTTCATTGAAAGAGTGGGTGACGGGCTCTATACTGTTATGATTTGTGGATATATCTACTGAAGAGGTTGGAAAAAGACGGGATTGATTCTTCGATCAAATCGATGCATGTGCCTACCGATGAAGACGAGATTGATTTCTATGGGTGGCTTTTTAGCCGAGCTGAAAAGGAGAAGGCTAATCCCGACATTATCCCGTTGAGTGAACAACGCAATCTCCGTCTGCGCCGTGCTTATGCCGAGATGATCCTCGAAGGTGAAAGAGACAAGAGAATGGAGCAAGCTGAAGTTTTTGTCAACACCTCTGACGTGAGTATCGCGCAAAATATCGAAAATATGTCCTCCGAGCAGCTCCGACAAGCAGTACTTGATTTTGCAGCAAGGAAGATTAAGGAATTGTTAGCTGTAGAACCGACTTTTCCTGTTACGTCTCAGGAAGTGCAGATCGAGGAGGAGATGTTCTCGAAAAATGTGATCACCATCGTGGCCAAAGAAAAAGAGGATGCAATGCTTGATGCGATCGGTACGGTGATGCTAAAGCATCTTGAGAAGGAGGGCGCCGAGGCCTTGAAGAATGTAACCGACAAGAATGGCAATGATGGAGCAGGAACGTCGGGAACTGCTTGATTATCCTATTATGGTTTTCTTTTCCTCTTTTTTTTTTTTAACGAAGTATCGGTATGTCGGTACTTCGTGGTTTTCGCTTAAAGTATGGATGGAAGTATGACAATCTTTCTTTATGAAGTGTTTTTATATTATTTTCTTTTTGTTGGCGTAAGCAAATTAAATTTAAACAAGATAAAAATAAGAGGTTCTCCATCTCGGTTCGGACTTTAAGATAAGACTTCAACAAGGAAACCTATTTTCAAATCAAGAATAACTTGGAGAAAAGGGTTAACCTCTTTGAAATCTTCAATACCGAGACAAAAGGAAATTCCATTCGGATTAATTCGGTTTTTGTTTTATCCGACTTAAATTAAGGAGTTCGAATTAAGAACGTTGGCTTTTATTTATCTGATTGTGATTGAGGAGTTCATCAAACCCAACTTCGGGGATTTAATCGGAGATGAACTATTTCCAGCACTTACAAGTGCTTTTCCAGAGAACGGTTGTGCTGGATCATCATGTGCAATCGCAAAAGGACGAGGTTCACAAAATTATCTTAAGAATTTGGGAAAGAAATTGACCACATGAAATCATCTTTAGGATTTGAAAGGAGAGTGGTCCAATCGGATCATCTTCAGGACCCGAATATAGAACGAACCTCACCAAATCATCTTCAAGATTTGGCAAAAGAGTAGCCTTTTATCAAACCAACTTCAGGGTTTGATGAAGAAATTGTAGTAAGAAAAACTGAGGAGTAAAACTTTTATTATAATACAAGAAAAGGTAAGAGGAAATTTACATCGTTATTTTCTTCATTACTAATAGTATTTTTTGAGGAAGACGGCGTTCCACGGGTACTGATGTTGAGTTCCGTCAGGATACTCGAGTCGGTAAGCTCCTTTGAGTAGAACTTGAATGATTTTGAAAGGTCCTTCCCATTTCGGCTTCAACGGTCCGGGATCAGGTCCATAGATTCTTTTAAGAACTAAGTGTTGGGTTCGCCTGTAACGTACGAGCTATACGCAGTGGAATTTAAAATTTTTTAAAACATGTATTTAACAATTAAATACATAACTCGTACATACATATGTCGAATAAACAGATCGTCATCTTTAAAAACATGTAATAATAATAAATTTTGATTTATTATAAGTAATTTCGAAAATTACCTTAGTTCTTGAACTCCTTCAAAATCGATGATGATTGAGGAAATCAATTCCCGGTTTGATAACGTCAACTCCTTGATGCTACTCGCTTTAGGAATCCAAACGTCTTCCCTCTAATCGTATCTACCTTTTGAAGTACGGTTCCGACAATAGTTCCTTCGCTAGTAGAAACTACTCGGTTTTTCAATAAGTATAGAATATATATATTTATAAGAAAATTTTCAAGAACTCTTTCTTGATATATCACTCAACTCTTTGAATGTATTTTTTCTTGGAAGAAATCTTGCTCAAGACTTAGCAAATTTTGTGCAAACATTTTGCACCTATTTATAGTAAATATTTTAGCATAAAATAATCAATATTTGATAATTAATTATTTTTAAATAAAATCAGATTTTATTTAAAAATTCATACCAAATATTGACTTTTAATAAATAATATAGAGTGGTTTATAACTACCATCAACTACCATTATTTTGTCTCTCAATTATTTGAATCTTTAATCATATTAAAG